TGATTCATTAACATCGAGTAAATAAATCATTCGAATAAGCGGCTTCATTAAACGAGTCTTTATCCTCTTTGATGAAGTACTTTTAAGAATATGTTGGAAAATATTATGTGAAGAAATAATTAATTGCAAATATTGGAAAATAACGGATGCAGGCCGTTACCAACCCTCCATTATAGAAATCATTGGGGCCTATGTTTAGCAGTGGACGTCCTCTGGATGAAACGATGATGATGGTGATGATGACTGGAAAATAATCGATGATAGATTTAATAAATAATGATTATGTAGGATTGTAGGTACAATAAAAATCGAAATACAGCGACATTGAAGCCATGCAAAAACAATAATTGTGCTATGAAAAACGACTCTCATAAAAAATATAGTGTGTTTTCTGTAATTGTAAATTTTAAATGTGCACATTAATTTATAGTCAAATTATTTTAATATTATTTCATTTTATTCACCGAGATAATGAGGTACCTACAGTAAAATGTGGTCTTGCAGCTTATCTTTCCGTTTTCATAGGTTTTGCTGCACCATAAAACTATGAGCTCTACATCGACTGCAATAGTAAGAACATGTACCTTACAGTAAAAACCACATCCCTATCGGTTCAGTCAACACACTATGACAGACCAAATCGCAAAAAACCGCCATTTTAACCGCAAAAACAATTCCTCTGTCGCGTCTAAGCTATACAAGTGTGAAAAACTAATTACTACACAATGTGTCGTTGTCACGCTTAGTTATCAGTTAATTGAGAAATTAACGTTAATGCTACTTTTTCATGTGGCTATTCATGATAATTTGTTACACAACAATGCGACATTTCGTAGTCTACGTAGGCCTTTACGGTTTCATTTTTGTAGGGTGCTCGTTTCAAACATGTTTGACTTTTATAATCATTTGTACCTTAGAATAGAATAGTCCTTGTCGCCCAGTGTGCGCAGTCGCTTAGTCCATGTTTATCGGATTCTCACGCCGTACACTTCGCACGTCATGTGACCATTGTCTTGGGCTCGCATGTTACTAAGTGGGTTGGTGACATACTTGTACAAATTACAAGTAAAAATGTCCGTGCTTTTTAGCGATTTTGTGAAAAATATTCGCCTCTTCTCGTTCCCACCCCTGCAACGATGTAGCCAGGATCTACAGCCTGACCGCCAATAGACACGCAACCAGTGAAGGTAATTTGTCCCGGGGGAAAATTAAACTGACATTGAACCCACAACCAAATAATCAGAAGCGCATAGGAAGAAGAACATAGAAAGAGTTAGAAGTTAAGGTTCGACTTCCCTCCAGTGCGAAACGTATGACAGGTGACAAAAAAAAGGTTTAATAACCTTTAAGAAAAGATAATAAGAAAGAAAGAAGACCACGGACAAATAAGCATCATCATAAGATATAGGCACTTCATAATCCTTAAATAAACTTATTAAAAGTTACTAAAACTTTAGAGGCGAACATAGAGTCTAGTATAAAAATGTGTATAATTTTCCATAACCGCTTTCGGAGACATCTCATACGTTTCTTACACGAGCTTTTAAGCTTTCCAAACCCGTCCGTGTAATTACACAAGCACGTTAACAACTTTCAAAGTGCTGTATAAGGAGAAAACCGGTGGATAACTTATAATAATTACTTCAAATAATCTTTTATTTTTTTAAGTTACTTGTAACTTTGTTAGTTACTGTCATCCGCATTGTACTTGACGATGAATCCTTTTCGAAGTCCTTCTATTTTCTTCTGATTAAATTGGTAGCTTGTCAATCACAATTAAACCCCTGGAACAGGTCTTTCTTCACTAATTGATTTTGATAGCCAAAGCCAAGCTGCTGATCTTGGCTACAGGAGTTGCAAGAAAGAATTAAAAGTGGAAATGGTGCTTTATTAAATGTTTTTCTTTTAACAATAGTGACTGAGTTGCTTGCGCTGCTTCTTCTCAGCACTGAGCCATTTATTGTCCCGAAGCAGTGGTAGGGTTAATAATGGGACGTGTGAAAATGATTTTAATAAGCAAAAATAAATGAGTTTTATGAATGTTGAGAGATAGAGAGAGACAATTTTCAAAATTCAAGACCGACCCAAAGCAATTTTGAATTGAAATTCTTGTTTGAAGTAAAATGATTACTCAAACTATACTCGTACTATAAACACATCCCGATGCATATTCTGATCAGTATTGCACAGCTTAGTAAACGAGATAACGGTAACTGATTGAAAACAAACAGCGTGCGAACCTACCTACTCCACCTACGCACTGCATTACCCGCTATACATATACACGTGTTTTAATAAACCTGCCTAAAAACAACCTTATCTGTTTTATTATAGTGTCGATACTTGATATGCAAAGTATCCTTGCTATATACAAAGGTGGAATTATGTAAAGCAATCGTAATTATTTGACAGTTCATAACGTACGATAAAGTCAGTTAAACAAAGCGTTTGACAGGTTAGTCGTACGTTATGAACTGTCAAATGATAACGATTGCTTTACACAATTCCACCTCAGGATTAAGTCTTGAGTTCTCCGCATTTAGTTCTAGAACACTAGATTTTTTCATTTTTGGAAAATCTAGGTACCTAGAGTGTACCTACTCGTACCTATCTAGTATGTACCTACTTTGCATTTGCGAGTGTGCGAGTGAAGGTATCCCTTATAGCCTTTTATTTCAGCTATTCAACCGCCTCTGTGGTCTAGTGGTAAGACCACCTGCTTCAGACGCAGAAGTCCCGGGTTCGATTCCCAGTGGGGGCAGATTTTTCTGTTCGGTTTGGTTGGTGGTGGGGCTTGTTCTAAGTCCGCCTGGCTAGCTACCACCATCTTATCTAAGTCTGTCGCCATAACAACAATGTTAACAGCATTGTTGTGTTCCGGCAGTTGGAGGTAAGATAGCCAGTTCCTCAGTGATTGAGGATTCCGGGCGAAGCTCGCTTCCAACTTCGGCCAGATCATCACCTACCATCAGGTGAGATACAGGCCAAGAGCTTCTAAATATTTTTTAATTTAGGTTAGGACAACCTGTAGATAGTTACATAAACCATAGCCTCTTAAGATTTTTTCATACTTTTTGCCTTCTATGGCATAAGCATTGAATTATTATGTCTAGAACAATCGAAGTAGTGGCTAAATCAATCGATAAATCATGTGCAGACCGTTTGATACTAAATAAGTCCAATGAGCCGATCACGACTCCGTCAATAGGTCACACATGTCACTATTATGTTCTCTATGTAAGGCAGTAAGACAAAAGAAATCAAATCAACAAGTTCTAAGCATGTCAAGGATGCACTTTGTGTTAAAAAGTTAAGCAAAATCCTGCTACTGCAAAATAAGATGACCGACGACATTTTAAAAAATCTTTGAAATTAAAATTATTTAAAAATTTGTCTACTGAAAACAAACGACAAACGATTTTTTGAATCGACAGCAATTTTTGATTGATAGATTGATTCCTAATTCAATTTTCATTGCAAATAATTAAGAATCAAACGAACTTACCTGTGATGTTTGATGTCTAATTATACGAGTGTCTTGACCGAAGATGATTACGTTTTACATGCAGCAGTACCTGGTATGATGCCGTCCTTATCACACTTTTAGAGAATATTTATTTAAAAATATAAGTTTTAAATATAATAAAGTACGTGTTTTGACTCCTCAGCACCGTAGTACATTCCGCGGTCCGCCATATTTCTTGTCATTATTTTAGAGCAAATTTTTTCGATCGGTTAAGGGTAATTATTCTCGGGTGAGGTGGGACTGTAATCATCTTCGGTCAAGACACTCGTATAATTAGATATCAAACATCACAGGTAAGTTCGTTTGATTCTTAATTATACTTCGTATCTCTCCCGAAGATGATTATGTTTTACATGCAGATGTTTAGAGCATCGAAAAAATTACAACCGTAGAAACTATTAACTTGTTCAAGGTATTTTAGTATATAAACAAAACATTGTTTACTTTCGTAATAATTAATGATGGTTTTGAAACGAACAGTTAACAAAATCACAATCACACAAAAAGTTAAATTAAGTAAGTTTCTAGTCTAAATGTAATACCCGAAACGTTTCGGGTGTTACAGTTTTTAATCAAGAAAGAAACATACTAAATTAGTATCATGCTCAGATATTAGTTAGTATTTGAAATCATTACTACCATGACCTTACTTTTACCAAATATTGTTACCCTCATCCATTTGTAAGGTACAATAATAAAACAAATACCTGTTTTTCTGTTTCGGGTGTTACATCGCCGAAGTAACAAGAAAATACACTTAAAACTTGATGATTATAAATTTTTTTGGGACTATGACGCTATCTACCAATACTATGATAAATACCCTCGAATCATATAGTGGCAAAACGGTTCACATATTGATAGTTTTTTTTTAATCGTATTACTAATAATTAGAGAGAAAATGATCATTCAGACAGTTGACTTAAGTATAGACTTTGAAGACTAATAACTTAAAAATTACTTGTTTCTTTCAGATTTTTTTTGTTGCACATTATAATTTGGAATGTATACTTTCAAAATTCATCAGATTTAATGCGAAAAGAACATATTTAGTTTTTCACCCTCGGTAACATTTGTCATGGAATGACCCTACCGTTTAGATTCAAAAGTTTCGAAGGAAGTTTACTGCTTCGTTTTAAACACTGTCTACTCACGGACATTGCCCGCGGGCGGCGTGACCGGAGGGAGCGGCGAGCGTTCGGCGAACGAACGAGCAATGTTTGGTTCGCGAGCGAACATTGAAGAAGACGATTCTGACGCACTCTCTTCAACGACTTTGCCCTAAACGGTCTCGATAATATTGTAAATTTATACCGAATAGATAATTAATTTCATACAGTCTACTCTTTTCATTTATAAACTTCCACTACACTCATTATCGTAGTAACAAACACGGTTAAATCTTTTATAACTACATCACATTAATATTGACTGAAATAAATGATCAAATATGGCACATTTTGTGTTCCTCCAGGGCAACTCCAACAGCCTAGCGTCCGTAGACCTAGGGGCGGGCTACGTAGGGCTCCGCGAATACTGCCCAGTGCGCGTGGCGGCTCGCATGGGGCTCCACGCCTACGCCGGGCCCGCGCTCGCCGGCTGCATGCTGTTCTGCCAAATACCGGTCGTTGCTGAGACTTGGGAGCAGTGAGTGTTTCTAGAACCTTCCCTGACAGCTATAGACCTATGACCTTCTATGGGCTACGCTGGGCCCGCGCTCGCCGGCTGCATGCTGTTCTGCCAAATACCGGTCGTTGCTGAGACTTGGGAGCAGTGAGTGTTTCTAGAACCTTCCCTGACAGCTATAGACCTATGACCTTCTATGGGCTACGCTGGGCTCGCGCTCGCTGGCTGCATGCTGTTCTGCCAAATACCGGTCGTTGCTCAGACTTGGGAACAGTGAGTTTCTAGAACCTTCCCTGACAGCTATAGACCTATGACCTTCTATGGGCTACGCCGGGCCCGCGCTCGCCGGCTGCATGCTATTCTGCCAAATACCGGGCGTTGCTGAGACTTGGGAACAGTGAGTTTCTAGAACCTTCCCTGACAGATATAGACCTATGAACTTCTATGGCTGTAGGACCTTCTATGGGCTAAGCCGGGCCCGCGCTCGCCGGCTGCATGCTGTTCTGCCAAATACCGGTCGTTGCTGAGACTTGGGAGCAGTGAGTGTTTCTAGAACCTTCCCTGACAGCTATAGACCTATGACCTTCTATGGCAGTAGGACCTTCTATGGGCTACGCTGGGCCCGCGCTCGCCGGCTGCATGCTGTTCTGCCAAATACCGGTCGTTGCTGAGACTTGGGAGCAGTGAGTTTCTAGAACCTTCTGTGGGAGCTGTAGAGTATCTGTAGGACCTTCTATGGGCTACACCGAGCCCGCGCTCNGCGCTCCCCGGCTACATGCTGTTCTGCCAAATACCGGTCGTTGCTGAGACTTGGGAACAGTGAGTTTCTAGAACCTTCCCTGACAGCTACCTATGACCTTCTATGGGCTACGCCGGGCCCGCGCTCGCCGGCTGCATGCTGTTCTGCCAAATACCGGTCGTTGCTGAAACTTGGGAACAGTGAGTTTATAGAACCTTCCCTGACAGCTATGGTCATAGACCTATGACCTTCTATGGGCTACGCTGGGCCCGCGCTCGCCGGCTGCATGCTGTTCTGCCAAATATCGGTCGTTGCTGAGACTTGGGAGCAGTGAGTGTCATTATGTGTTCCTCTAGGGCTACTGCCAACAGCCTGGCGTCAGTAGACCTGGCGCGGGCTACGTAGGGCTCCGCTAGCGGCACGCATAGGGCTCCACGCCTACGCCGGGCCCGCGCTCGCCGGCTGCATGCTGTTCTGCCAAATACCGGTCGTTGCTGAAACTTGGGAACAGTGAGTTTCTAGAACCTTCCCTGACAGCTATAGACCTATGACCTTCTATGGCTGTAGGACCTTCTATGGGCTACGCTGGGCCCGCGCTCGCCGGCTGCATGCTGTTCTGCCAAATACCGGTCGTTGCTGAGACTTGGGAGCAGTGAGTGTCATTATGTGTTCCTCTATTATGGCTACTGCCAACAGCCTGGCGTCAGTAGACCTGGCGCGGGCTACGTAGGGCTCCGCTGGCGGGCTGGGGCTGCACGCCCACGCCGGGCCCGCGCTCGCCGGCTGCATGCTGTTCTGCCAAATACCAGTCGTTGCTGAAACCTGGGAGCAGTGAGTGTTTCTAGAACCTTCCCTGACTGCTGTAGAGTATCTGTAGGACCTTCTATGGGCTACACCGAGCCCGCGCTCGCCATGTTGTTCTGCCAACTGCCGGTCGTTGCTGAGACCTAGGAGCAGTAAGTACCTAACTAGTAACTACTAGGTTTAAAACTTTGTAAGAGATTTGTTTATGATCCCGGGCTCGAATGCGCTAAAAATTTTCAACTGCAACGCAACTGAACGACGAACGAAATTCAGCTGTTTTGATCTATCCGTTTCGCGGTGTCGTTTTGACAGCAAGTTGAAACGAAGTTGTAAAGTAAACGGAGCGCAGATACGCCCTTACGTAAAAGCTGACAAAAAGCTTCTTTTTCTCAAACGCAAGTCAAACGCATCACGAACTTTTGATTTGTCTTAGTAATTTTAGTTTCTAAAATAAGGTATTCGGACTTTTAATGAAAAACGCATAAATAAATACTTTGTTTGCGCGTGAACTTTACCGCGATACCGAATTGCATATCAGCTGGAATGATAATTGAGCGATACTGGAGTGTAAACGGGAGATGAAACGCGAATGAATTGGAGAGATTACAAATTAGCGCAATCGGGACCCTGACTCCTTACCTTTGAAATGAATTTGTGTTGGCAAAGTTCAACATGTTGTACGTTTTGTTTGAGATTTACAAGATGCAATCAAGTGACTATCTCTATTCTCCACAGGTACTTACAGACAGTGTGGCGCGTCTCAAACATATTCGCATTCCACCGCGTCTACTCCATATCCGTATACAGCGTCATTGCGATCCTCTTCAAGCACCACCTATTCGTCTGGTCAGTGTTCTCCCCCAAACTGCTATACGATTTGGCAGCTACAGTTTTCACGCTACAAGCACTGAGCACCATAGCATTCATCGTACTCCTAGCCCACTTCACTAGTGGGCTGGCCCGAATCGTGACGCTGAAGTCAAGATTGTGATACGAGTTTTAATGAGGGTAATTAGATAATTGAAACGGGTAATGCTTCGGCCAAACCAACGCGTGCAGATCGCATCGGCTAAATGGCGATCACTGCGCGGGCATAGATCGACGCGTTAGTGTGAACTATTAGCTACAAATTCATACAAGATACCTAATCTGCCATCGCGCAGGCTACACGCGTTTGTTTGGCCAAGCCTTGAAGCGAAGACTGTTTTATTTTTAAGGATAAGGCGGCGTGATTTTGAAGCAATCGAATATATCTTGAACTGGGTTGTTATTAATTGTTGACTGATATCGCCAATGAATTGAATTATTCCCAAATANCCCAAATACCTACATTCCTGTGGATATTGTATGACAGTATGAACCTTCGGCAGCTCTTGTTCGCTTACTTTTTGATTTATTTATATCAAAGCAATATAATAAAATCATTTTTACATTACTTTTAAACTATGGATGAAAGTCTGAAATAAATTATTTATTATATTATTATTATCTCTTTATTCAATTTCCTTCTTATTTTTAATATTTTTTTTACAATGTAAATTATAAAAAAAACTAAAAATACATTATAAAAAAAATTCTTAAAAATAGTTAATCCGCTGGTAGCGGAGCAGGGCCCAAGCTACCGGTGGTCAGGGTCACAGGCTGAGGAACCTCCGGACAATGCGTGCCGTGCTGAGGATCACCGCCTTTTGAATCTGACCCTTGAGCCAACCATCTAGCGAGAGCTTCTTTAGATGTTATTATTATTACATACTTGGAAAGTTGGGTTTGCAACACTGGAATGAAATGTGCTTTTAGAGAAGTTGTGACTGGGAATGGTGTCAAGACATTTTGTCCATGATATTCATATGATAATGTGTACTATACAAATACTTAACACGAGCAGAGAAATATCGTTTTTAAGAATTGCATGCTACTATTGCTTCAAAATTGAGTCTCAAGGTTTGGAGTTTGGACATTGCATTCGATTAGTACCAAAGCAAATGTTGTATGATTTCCTTATAAATAGATATTTGTCAGATTATTATTATTAGTTCGAACGAACGAAGATATTTGCCAGATTATTATTAGTTTAGATAAGTAGGAATGTCTTTTATGTGTATATCAATGTGTAGAACACTTACAAGTAAGATCTCTAGCGCGCCTGCGCACTGAACCACGTATACAATTTTATTCTTAAATGTAATATTGATAAATAAACACCATTGAGTAGAAAGACAAACATATTTTAAAAAGATATTACTGTAGTCTTATTTCTGAGAGCATGACGGATTGACATATCTATGTACTTGTATCATGTGTACTTTTATGGGATTCTATGTTGTTGTTGATGTTTAAATTATTGTAACTAGCCATTAAAAGCATGTAGAAAACAGTTAACACACTTCAATAGAATAGATACAATAAATATTTGATGTCCATGTCTCCAAGTTTTTGCCCCCGCGGAATTCGAATCCGCTACCAACAGGCAGGGCAGTAGACAACACCTATTCATAATTAAAAAAACTATTTTAAATAAGTATAATATTCAATTTATCTAAATGTTACTAATGTAAGAACTATTTAAACTTATGAAGAGCTCTTGCCTCCCTTCATGTAATGTAGAAAAGAGGCATATTTTTTAAGTACTTACCTAAGGCAAGTCTTTTTCTAGATGACGGGTTTTACGCTCGGTTTGTCTTAAGATGGAGCCAATACATTCCGTGTCAAATGTGCACAAAGTGCGACAAAACGCGTCATCTGACTATTTTAAAGTGAAGTTTTCTTTGAAGCGAAGATGGGTGGAGTTTTAATGTATTTAACACACCAAAGGAAAACATAATAAGGGAAAGAGTGATTTTATCCACCCAACTCCGAAACAGCAGAAATGCTACCAAAATTAAATGAAACAATGTTTGCAACAAATGATTATGTGTATACTGGAACCACCATATTTTTTATTTCTTTTTTTTTTACATTTTTACTGTAATATTACAATAAGATCCTATACCAAATCAATGTCATATTTTATCGTCTAAATAAAAAGTATTGACGTTCAATTTGCATTTATTTCAGCCCTTACAACCATAACAATAAAACAAACTGATAAGTATATTACGTAATAGTTACGTCCATCTGTTTTGATGACAAATGACAATTGCTTTAGGTAATAAATACAAAAAACTCAACATAAATAAATAACCAACAAAATGAGACGTGATTTTTATAGACACTAGATTACAAGCCAATATGTAGAAGAAAATACACGGAAATACAATAAAATAAAAGGACTATTACAATAGTTAAGCAGAAACATAAGCTAGATAGTGTATCAACATACATTTTTTTACGTTGACGTCAATCAGTCCTGTTATTTGGAATGCGTTGGACTATTACAATGGACCAGCATTCCCATATACATTTTATTTGATTAACCATTACCAGCATGGCTTGATAGTTTTTAGAATATTATAAGCTCAAATCTAGCTAAGCTCACTATATCTCACTGAATACGACGCGACAATCATTAAAGAAACAGAATGATGCTTTTAATTTAATGATTCTAATATAAATGAGCAGTCGTTCGAGAGTCAATTTTTCTCGGACTATCGAAAGTAAAAAGCAAAAGAATGTCGCGCTCATTGCGAACTTCAACTACAAGAGAACTACAGTGCAAACAGTTTTTCGTAGACGGATAAAAGGGCCCAAGCACACCACGGTTTTTTCAGGCGCCATCAAGGCACATGCAATTGCTGAAAAAACGTGGTGTGCATGCCCTCTAAAAGTCGAATTGCGATAAAGACGAAACAAGACAGGTGCTGTCAATATTAGGAATAATTGCCCGAGTCACAGTGACTTGTAACTTTACAATAATTTTTATTAGCAAAGTAATGACTTCACGTCAAGATATGAATCGTCAAATAATGTTAATCGTTTCGTCTAGATACGTTATTCGTACGATTATTTTCTAAGAGTTAATAAAAAGCACCAACAGAAAAGGTTATAAATACATACATGACTTAGGTTTTTTAGTATACAGTTAAAAACTTTGAAGCCTGGAATGCGTTGCGTTAGCTGCGGTACTTACACTTAAAAAGTATTTATCGAAAAATATATTCCTGCCGGGCCAGCAAGAACAACACGACATAATTTTATCGTGGTATTATGTCAGCTAAATTTGATATTTACGCCACGACAAAATCATATCGTGACATTCATGGTAGTAGGATGGTTTGATTTTTAAAATATGTCGCACGCAACTATTTTAATAACAAACAATGATACTATATTATAATAAATTTATACATAAATATTCTGATATTTCCAATTTTGGCACTAGCTACAAAAATGTATTCCGTACATACATTTATTTATATTAAAATACATACATCTGAACTTGTAAAACAAAATGCACAGGCGAAATTTAAGAGATAAATGCATATTGCGGAAATATTTAGCAATAAAGTACAACGATTGAATCACATGATATCTAACTTCTACATTAGCCTAACCTATCACCTTTTTACAATAAACTAAATACAAAATATTGTCTACAGAAAGTGATCGTATTACTCTATTTATTTATCGTTTTGTAAAGAACTGCAAAAATATATTTCTTTATATCTGTTTTATGTATAATGCTGAAGATAGTATCGATAAATAATTATTTAACTACTATTTATTGATAAACATGATTATTATTTGAATCAAGGAAATAAATTCTATAGTTTGCGTTTTAAGGCCCTATTAGTATGCTTAGTAAGTACTAAATTTATTGATTTAGTTATCAGGAAGTAATTGACAGAAAAGCTAACGTGTGTGTGTAACCCACTTAGTTTAACAATTGTAATAAATAAAACAATGAGCTGTAGTTAAAATATTGACTCCAAAAGAACATCAGTACATACTTGTATTTTCGTGTAATAAGTACAATATTGTTATATTGATGTGTACTCAAGTCTCTGAATACCCGCAGTAGTAGTAGTAGTAGTAGTAAATGGTATAAAAATACGTTTTGCATATCGCAACTAGCAAACTATAATATTAACATGATTCTCTCTAAGACATTCCGCTGCCTAATTATACAAGTCAGCGTCTATCAAAATTTATTTCAGTTTAATTTACAACCCGATTACTGCGCTCTTGGCAGCCGTGACGTCACATCGGGTTATACAGTATACATCCATTGCTGCCGCAATACAAATCACTGACAAATTGTCTTTGAACCAGCGATGGTTGTAATCAAATAGTCACATTGAAAACGATCGTAACAGACGTTGAGTTGAATAATTAGGCCTCTGACAAGAGCGAATGGGACGAAATGACGTTCACGCGTAGTCAAGAGCGAGACAGATAAACCAGTACCATCGCAGATATGATGTGGAAATCTAAGTAGATAATGTGCACCTTTACCTTCCAATCACACCATTGGAAATCTCGGTTACCTGAAATGTTGAAAAAATTGTGTGTAACACATCATTAGGTCATTCAAATCGGCCAAAATAATCATTTGCTTTTTTTTTGCTAAGAGATGATGGCCGATGGGGTAGAAAAGTTCTCGAGTGGCGACCACATGCCGTAAGACATAGCGTGGGCAGGCCTCCCACTAGGTGGACCGACGATCTGGTGAAGGTCGCGGGAAGAATCTGGGACGCGAGCAGTGCAGGACCGGTCGTTGTGGAAATCCTTGGGGAAGGCCTTTGTCCAGCAGTGGATATAATTTGGCTGAAATGAACTAAGTAGAGTAAGTAAAACAATAATATAAGATTTTAAACTTTCGCGTTCCATTTCAATTAAAATAGTAAGACACGGGTCTTAACGCGACGTTATTAATGAGAACAATAATATAATCGTTATAGCCAATGAGCTGCTGTCATAGTGACATTAACAGAGTAACGTCAATGTCACACTAGAAACGTCAGAATAGAGGGACGCGCGCGGACATCTCTGCGCGCTTTTTAGCTAATTGATCAATTGTAATTAAAATGGACCCACAAGGTGGACCGACGACCTGATAAAGGTAGTAGGAAGGCGCTGGATGCAGGCTGCTACCAACCGTGCGATGTGGAAGTCATTGGGGGAGGCCTATGTATAGCAGTGGACGTACTGTGGCTGAAATGATGATAATGATGAATTAAAATGAGGCAATATAATAATGTGCAAGTGGAGTATCCAGTGTTTTATTTATCTCTTTAGATCTCCCGGCCTCTAACAGCACTCACTTGTATTGCAGTATGATTGTCAGTGCTGCAGCTTGTACCGGTACACCAGGACGCTGGCCACGCCCACCAAGTGTATTATTTAT